GTAGATTTTGTTGAAATGGGGATTTGAATTGGAAGATGCTTGGCTTTTGAAAATTCGTTGGACAATGTGTTGTGTTGTTTGAGAGTTTGAAAATTGGTTTGTTTTGATTTTGAACAAAATTGTTTTTGAAACTGTTCTGACTAATTAAAATTTCATAGTTTGTAATGATGTCAGTTGCTTGATTTAAGTTTTGAGGATTCTGTACAATTAATAATGTTCTTAATTCAGATGAAATGTTGGCTAAAAGGTTTTGTGTAGCAGTTAATTCGTTCTGAGCAAGTCGTTCTGAGCTACCGACTGCGCCAATTTTGTTTCTGATTGTAAAAAACTTGTTTTTAAAAAACCGTTTATTACGAATCAAAAGTGTGTTTTACAACAACGAGATGTTACACTTTGTCCTACTAACTTAAGACTGATTTCCTTATGCCGAATGCACAGCTTATATAGTCATTACTTGCAGCATCGACATTTATTCAGTGAAATATACAGTGGTCTGCGTAAGTGGTCATATAACTCATGCATGCAACATAAACAAAACAAGTCATTTAGTCCAGTGTACAAACAATTTGGAAACATGGAAATACATCCATATTGAGAATAGTCGTGTTTTAAGGGCGCAGTCAATAGTCCTCAGCGCTATAGAATAAATTACTCAAACCCTAATTACTCATAAATGTATTTTTTTTAATGTTTCAAAATTCAAAAGTTTTTGCGCGGTATTTGAAAAACCATTACAATATTGAGAAGAATTCAATCTAGAAATGTTATTTAAATGAATGGTTTTTATAAGAACAAGTTGACTGCTCCATTGAATGTGAAAAGTGGTACCTGAACGATTTTAAAAATAATTTTAAATATTATATTTGTAGATTAACCACATGTTTTTTTTTTGTAAAATATGACATGGTAACTGTGTGCTTTTTAGAAACGTTATTGCATGGTCACAGAAGTTTTGCGATCTTTTAAATAAATATAAACAAAGTAGGTAATGAAATTATTCGAATGAAGAAAAGTTAAAACTTTTTTCTTACTACCTCAGTTTGCCAAATCACTTTCGCTGGTATTTTAATATCCAGGCTACAAAGATAGTGAATTCGGTGTAGTTGTTTTGTTTGAATTGTTCTCAGTATGATAAAGCTGTAAGTCTAAGTTCTTTCCTTACGCTTCCATGTCCTATTCGATCGTTTAACTTTTCTGAAGAATTTTTATCTCCAATGCCTGAATCTACTGAAGTAATTGCTAGTTAGTGTAAGTTGTGTACTGTATGTTACC